CCATCGGGGTTGGGTTTTCGTCGCTTGGCAGCGATGTTGTAAAACAAGCCGAAAACTTCGTGAACTCGGCAACCAAGTTATCGCTTTATTTTTGCCGTCGGCCTTTTTTTTGTGCGGTAACCATAATGGTGGTCGAGTAGATCATGTTGTGCGGGGTGGAGAACCCTCACTCCGCGCAAGGGGAATGATTGCACCACGTCGTGTTGAATTGGTCAAGTACCCTCGAGGCAGTTACACAGTGCTTACAACTGTCTCTGGAAGTGAAAGCACCAGAAAATAAATTAATTCATACGCAGCTGTCATCCGTACGCAAGGAAGTAAGCACAAGATGCCGAACACCCTTAGCAGGATGCAGCGCACCCTTCGTGCGACTTGCCAAATACCTTCCGGCGCTTCGCGCTTGGTGATGTGAGAGCCTGGTCCGGTGAGAACCCGGCGTGCTCCGTCCCGGCTTTGTAGGGATGCGAGGTCAATGGTCATACGACTACGGCATGCACGACCATGAGTACACCTCCCCCACCTGAACTCGATATAGATTACGTCAAAAGCGCGCACGATGAATCCAATACTTGCCTGCTCGCTATTGGCCACCACAGCATCCATAACCAAGAGATAGTGGTCCCCGTGCTCGTGCCCTATCCGCGCAGCTGGCAGTTCGACGCACGCCCCGAAATCCGGCTGCCCCCCAATCCCAGGCCCTTCCAACACCCCCAATGCGTCTTTCGCCGTGGGCGTGATGAGCGTCGTTCGTCGAAGAGTGTCGAACGTAAAATGTACTGTGGCGTTAGCCGCCGGGAAAGGCATTGCAATCATGATCTGCAGGGGGCACAAACACGACGGGAGGGGCGTGGGAGAAACAACGCGGCAGCATGTGTATAACGGCCGCTAGGTGATGCCGTTGCAGGTGTTTGTTTGTCCGCTTTGTGACTCAAGATAAGATAAGCTGCTAACCCGGGTATCGGAGACAAGAGACGTGGCTTGGATGTGACACACGACCGACTTGGATGTCTTCTTCGGTGCGCACGTGCTGACGGATGAGGGTAAACGGAGTATCAGTATCACGTCCCCCGACAAGGCAAAAACCGGACCCCCCTCCCATGTGTTCCAACTACACATGCATACGTACATACATGCCGCTCCTCGGACTTTGTTCCTATGATACAAGAATGTTGTCTCTCTTCGTTCGTAGGTTGTATCATATTTGGTAACTACAGCCTGTGGACTACGGAACGGCGTACGCGTCAGTTGGACCAGTATGGATGTCAGAAGGGACCGAGCAGAGCATCGAGAACGGGCAAAAGAAGTATGTCGCCGATACACATGTTGAACAACAGGGCCAAAAGTATTTGAGCAACGCGGCAGGGTCAGTAAATAGTGATGACCCACACGATTGAACCAAATTATAAAATACCGTCACCAACACGCCTTTGACCTACTGCTCCTGGCACTGCTGCTTGCTCCTCTTGCGCTGTGGTTTCGCGATGGGCACAGTACTTGAACCTGCTGCTAATTGCATCTACCATTCAAACACGGCCTCAACAAAGCAACAGCAGTAGTCCTTCTTGAGCAACAGGCGACAACTCCGAACTGCGTGCATATGTTTCCTTCAACGTGCACTGAGCGGACTGCTGGGAGCCCCGTTCATCAAGGTCCTACACCAGCCTACTGCTGCGGGGAGCGCCTGCGATACGCGCCATTTGTGCAAGCAACTGCTGCTGTCAAACAAGCAGTAGTGCCTACAAACGAGAGTTGAGATCTCCTAGGCATGGACACCGGTAGACTATACCCGTGTTCCGAGGACCCCACAAGTATATTCACAACGGCGGGTTGAGGTGACACTTTTGTCTCGAGAGAAACACTGCCGTATTCTAGGACCTCTCCTTTTGGCAGCTCGAAGGCAAATATTATCTCCTTGCTTAGGTTTGAACGGAAAGAGGCAAGCTGCCCCATCGCTATCCCTCCTATCTCTATCTCTGTAAGGGGCCTGGGGCAGATATATAATGCACGCCGGTCGGACTCGTGCTTGCTGCTGGGCAGAGAGGAATTCTTTTTTACCTGCTCTCTGGGTTGCCCGGCCATTTTCACGATCGGCATGGAGACGTATTTCATCGCTCTGCTCGCTCTCCGCTGCCAAGCGTCCTTGTTATAGTACTTGCTCGGACGATCGCCGCAGTCCCCCCCGCCGCGGTCGCCGGCCGCGGCAGCCATGGTGGTTTGCAACACCCTTCTTCGACGAAATCCTTTGAACTCAACACGCCGATGTTGATGCTGCTGCTGCTGCTGCTGCTGCTGCTTTTTTCGCTCCGCCTGATGACGGCTCGCTCGAGGACGCCTGAAGCTCGCGCAGGCTTCGCAAGGAGGAGAGAACGCGAGGGGGTTGCAGGACGACCACCCCGTTGCCCCGACGAGGAGGCCCTCCGCAGCCAGCAACGAGACGTTCCACCTCATGCAGCGGCAGAGGCGGAAACAAACAGCTGTGCTTCCATTTTTCAACCGTGCGCGACGATGAAAAGATGCGCGACGCGGAGCCCCCTTTTATGGCTGGGGGGTGCGTGCGGTGCTATGGGGGTTCAAAACAAAAGAAAAATAAACAACATGACGTAATTCTCTCGATGACTCATCTTGTGTCATGTGTCAACGTGTCAACCGAGTTAACCCCGCACGCTGTCATCCCCCCCCCCCCAAAAAAAAGCGCTGAGATTGGCACACGCAACACACACATCATCATTCGTTTGCTTTCAGCCACCTCACACAGCTTGAGAGCACGACCAGCTATTTACACAACAGCAGTGACCCCTTGAGAGCACATCGGCATCTTCTCGTATCACAGCTGGCCATCCAGTTTCCCTCTGCGACATTATCAGAGCTTGTCTTCTGCCGCCGCGATACACGGGCTGGTGACACCTGAGAAGGGGCGAAAGGTGAGCAAGCCTACCCTCTGCAAGATGGAGCCTGAGTGTCTGAGGGACAACCCGTGGTCTGAGCCGCGTTTGAGATACAGCCGCAGCGCAATGGCACCTAAAATGTTTACGGTGAAGTTGCTCGCTTTTCCCGTTATCTGCCTGGAGCAAGTCTCCCTGCAATAGAATCGATGCCCGTGGAGGGTTAGATTTTGCAGGGTTGTCCTGGAACAGCTGTGGTTAGAAGTATGCAGCTGCCGGCAAAAAATTGATTTTGACTCGCATCAAACCTGTCTTGAGCAGTAGTAGACAAAACCACAGCAGATTATGTGTAGCTACTGCTGCGTTCCGTGGGGCGAAGTACGGGGCGAGTTGGCAGGGTACCCGTAGCGTGAGAGGCGTGCATGGTGGACGAGCGGTCGAACGAATCAAAGGCATAGACTACAGCTGTTGACTCACACACGTATATCCCGAATTGTATACAGAAAAGACGGATGGCGTCTCCTTATTGGCAGAAGCTAGTTAACGCGATGGATGCTGAACCGAAATACTCGGAATATCGCACGCCTATTTTATGCATACGAGGTTTCGGAAGCGCGGTCTTTCGTTGTTTTTATCCCGCTCCACCGACCACGGAAATTGACCGAGTCAAGTGCTGGATTAGTACGGAGAGATTGAGACAGAAGGAGGTACTGGATAGAGAGACCGGGATGGTCTTTAATGTGAAGACAACAACAACCGACCGCTCATGCACGACTATGAGTACCCCCCCCCCCCACCGACCGAAGTATGATGTGTTTGGTCGGCCACAACGAGACCGCACACGAGCCCCTGTGTGCCTGCCACCCTTCCCTTATCTCGCCCCCCCGTCCTCCGCTGCTTCCTTCCTCTTTGCATCTCTGCTATACGTGCGCAGGAGCAACCGTTACGAGCAATTTTGGTGATGGCGTCCCAAGCGCGGAGGAGACGACCAACGCGACCATCGCCCAACACTTGCCCGTTTCTCACGAGAGCCCTGGGCGTCGCTTGTCTTGCCGGGGCTACAACCCTCTCTGCCGCCTTCGTGACGCCGGCGGGCTGCCGCGTAGGGTTCTACGGGGTCAACAGTGCCGCCGCTGCCGCCTCTGCGACGACGGCCCGTCAACGCGGCAACGTCGGCGGTAGCAGCAACCGTTGCGGCGGCCGCGATGGCCCTGTTAGATTACGGAGACACCACCTGGCCATGGTGTCGGCCACCGCGGAGCCCCCGGTGGCCACCGCTACAGACGCCGACGCCTGGGCGGGCGCGACGCGCGGACGACGAGTGCGGGGAGGAGCGCGACGGACACCGCCCCTCACGACAGAGGAGGAGCGAATGCTGCTTGCCAAGATCAAGAACGCACGGGCGCTGAGAGATATCCAGCGAGGCTTGGAAGCAGCGGCGGGGGCGACGGCGGGAAGGGGGGGAAAGGGGGCTTTGGGGGACGGACGAGCCGCAGACGGCGGCGCAGGGACGACGGTGACGATGGGGGCGTGGGCGCGGGAGGCCGGGGTGGAGGTGGAGGATCTGCCGCGCGTCCTGCAGGAAGGGATCGAGGCGAAGCAGACGCTGGTGGAGCGCAACATGCCGATGGTCATCCGAATGGTCGAGGAGCAGTACCGGTGGCGCCTCCGCGGCGGCCAGGTCTCCCTCGCCGACCTCCTCCAGGAGGGCGCGTACGCGCTTGGCGTGGCGGCGGAGCGGTTCGACCCGGCCATGCCCAACCGCTTCCTCACGTACGCGCTGTACACGGTGCGGGACAAGCTGGACGTTGCGCTGGCCCGCGGCAACTCCGCGATCAGCGTGCCGGCGACGGCCCTCAAGGAGGTGCACCGCGCCCAGAGGGAGCTCACCGGCCGGCTGGGTCGGACTCCTTCCGAGGCGGAGCTTGCCAACTTCTTCGCGAACGGGGTGGTGGTGGTGGACGATGCCGAGCCAGCTGCGTCCGCTGGGGATGGTGGGATCCGTCGCGGTGGCGCTGATGGGGACCGCGGCCGGTCAACGGCTGCCGGGAGGCGCGCCAGGGCCGTGACTGACGGGGAGTTCGCGGTCAAGGCCGCGTCCAGCGACAGAGAGGCGCGACAGCAGGCCAGGACGCGCGGGCGGCGACTGAACCTGCTGTCGGCGGTGCAGAAGGTTACCAGCATCGACCGGCTCATCCGGGCCAGCGACGGGAGCACCATGGTGCCCCTCGTGGACACCCTCGTCGGGGACCTCGAGGACGGCCTGCCGCGCTCGCCGGGCGGCGATATCGCGGAGCTCCTCCCGAGAGTGCTCACGCCCCGCCAGGCGAGCCTCGTGCGGATGGCGTGCGGGCTGTCGGACGGGAAGCCGATGACGATGGCGGAGTGCTCGAAGGAGCTCTCCCTGAGCGTGGCGAGAACGAAGAGCCTGTTCGACAGCAGCCTGGAGAAGCTGAGAGCAGCGGCGGAGGCGGATGACCTTGGCAGGCTGGCGCGACAACCGTGACCTGGCTCCACCGCGTTTGTGGTGTTTCCGGGGCGAAAACGAGTCAACACGTTAACCCCCCACTGTATCACAGTAGTAGTCGTAGGGATCACTGGTGTGAAAAGAGAGCCTTCCGCCCCCAATACGAAGGGACAGCAGTAGATGCGAAAAAATCGCGTTGGCGGTTTGCCGGTGCTTGTCCTCCGGTTGTTAAGAGTGTGAAGCGGGCTGGCTGCGATTGGCCTGTATCAAGGTGGCAGGCACCGCCGCCTGTGTCGTTCGTTGTTGCTTTTTTCATTGAGGGGACGGGGGCTGATGTTGGGAATATGTTTGTCCTGGTGGCGCTGGAGGCCGGCCGGGTGCATCTGCTTTTTTGTACACAGTGGTGCAGGTGAATTCGGTGTTGTGAATGGGCTTATTTTGGCTAGGTGAGACCGTTGGAAGCGGTTATTATTCATGTAGAACGGCGTTTTTTGTCCTCTCCAATCTTGTGTTGCGAACCTCGGTTGTGGTGCGTATGTGTAGGTTCCAAGAGCGCCCCCTGCCGGGTACGTGCAACCATATTTTTGAAGTTTTGTCAGGTACAGCCAGCTAGCTGTGTTGAGGCGATCAGTTGTCAAGTGTGGAAGTCTTTTTTTTTTCTGGTTTGCGTGTCCCGCTTGGGTAGCCTGGCGGGGTCGTGCCACTCTGTTCGGTCGCTTTGTCGGCGGCAGGATGAGAGGATAGTTTTGGTGTGTGCGTGTGGCCAGCAACGCATCGCACAGAGAGGGCTAGAGGCTGGACGTGACGGGTGGTGGCGCGAGTCTGACATCCGTTGGCTGCGTTTGTGTTCATCGGGACAGGAAGCGGGGTGAAGTTGGTGGTCGTTGATGATGGTCAACGATCGAGAATTTACTCCATTCCAACAAAGTGTGGAAATAGCGCTTCAGGGTTAGCTCTGAACGGCGCATGTATGCTTTGACTTGAGGTCAATGTAGACCACGTTTCGCGTAACGCCCAAACGTACAAATCTGGTCTGTGAGCCGCTAGTCTACAAGCCTAACCACTTACTCAATGGCTGTCACCGACAGCTGCTGCAAGAAATGTTGACCCTTTCATGAAAAGAGTCGTCTGCAGACAACTGCCGGGACAAAAACATCCTGCAACCAATTGTTTGTAAGCAACTACTGGTTCGGCAGGGAGTTAGGCAGGGAGCCTACAGCAGCTTCTTCAGTAGCGACTCCTGGGGCAGTCGTCGTTGGTCCGCCATGCCTCTCTCAACTTCGAAAAAAAACAGCGAACATGATGCTCTTCGGCACTAATGTAGCGTGCATTTTCCTAGCTTTTTATCCCCAATAACCGCTGTAGTCTTGCACAGGTACCGACATATTTCATGTCTAGCCCACTACTGCAGCAACAGGTTTTTGAGGCGGTTGCTTGTTGAATTGGAAAGCCTGGACATTCGGCAAGAAGCTCTTTCTTTGAGACCAACAGAGCAACATATTACAAAGCACACAAAAGCAAGGACACCTGCCCGAAAATAGTTTTAGGCCACTGCTGTATTGAGGAGCCGGTAGTAGTTCTTGGTTTTCCAAACCCGCCCGGGTCATCACAAAAAAAACGTCTGTAACTCCCACCATAACCAATTGACAACTGACCCGTTCAACAAACTGGCGCTCATCTCACAGACGGGTTATCCAGTCCCTCGTCCCTCCAAGGTTTTCTCCGAAACCCTCGAAAGTAAAGAAACACAGGCCAGTGCAATTCATACAACTCGAAAGCAATACCTACAAAAATGGTTAACACACCGCCGCTGTGGTAGGTTCCGCAGTCGAATGCCGCTGGCGCTGCTGCTGCTGCTTTGCTAGATAACCAGAGAGCACCGGGTTCCCCTGCACCTCCACACGTGCTGCTGTTGCCGCTGACAACAACACAAGCCACCATGTCACCACAAGTTGGTAAATTTGGTCATCATCCGACAATCACAAGTTCGGAATGGAATACCCACCCCGCGAAACCGGTGTAGGCCGACAACACCGCCACTTTCCTCGGGGCAAGGTAGATCCACTCGCAAAGACATGCGGAAGGCCGGAAGAAACGGCAAGAGAAATCACGCAACCTAACGAAAAATAATGGTACCAAAACATGAAAATATGTTATTTACGATGCTTGTCCCGCTTCTACCAGGGCACTGAACTCCAACAACCGAATCGATGAGGAGCGCCAGCAAGCTCGCTTTTCTTCCAAATCAGGGCTCACAAGCAAGCATCACCACGCCCCCCCCACAGCAAAATTTCGTCCTGCGATGAAACAAGCGCTTTAGTTCCCTGACGTGGCGTTCACCCACTGCTCTTAAAAGCACCTTGCTGCATTTCGTTGGCATCGGCCGCCCGAATCGGTTGACCAATGACAACGGGACGAACACACGCTGGGGGGCAGCTGTCCTGCCGCGGTGGGTGCGTGCTGTACAGGAACAAAACCGGTGTTTCTCATCCAACCGGCGGGTATCCGAGCCACCGCTGTTGTAGCCAGCGGTTTCACAAGCCTCACAACCAAGGTTGGCGGCCGCGTCCAGCGAACGCAGACTTAAAAAACAAGGGACGGGACGGACTACTTCGCGATACAACGACGAAACACAAAACACGTTCTCTAGGGACCAGCAAGAGGCAAAACCCATGCCCTGCGTCGTCCTGCAGCGTTTTCAAGGACCAAAAAAGGCAGGATTGAATGGAAAAGTATGAATAATAATATGTTTACATGCACAGCACAGAAAAAAACGTACCCGCACACATCGAGAGTCTGACTCAACCTCCCGTGTGTCAGTCCTCTTCTGCATCAACCAATCGGTCGCCTGGCCTACAGGCCGATTTGCGACAAGAATAGGGGTGGACAGTACAGCCCCGTACTGAAAAAAATATATAGAGTATGGCACACGGCCGACAGGTAGCTACGTGCACTGAACAACCTCGTCTGTGCCAACAGACCATTTGCAACCTAAACACAGTGCGGAACCGGCAAACCAGCGACACAACGGGTGGTCACCCTCACAGATACGGCACAGACATCATCCCACCGGAGTGAAGCGCCGCTTATGATCAGACAGCACGTTCGGTGTAATCCGCCCTTCCGCCAGAAGAACCTCACCCGACGTTCCCAGCGACAATGAGGACATTCTGCGTCGCCCCGACGCCTCCTCCTCCTCCTCCCCGCGAGCCACAGCTTGCATGCCTCCACGGTACACCCCCTTCCGCCGCTTCATGAAACAATGCGAGTGAGCTCGCATCAGCGGTTGGAGCACGCCGTGCTTGTTCCGCTACTTCTCCTCCCTCGGCTCCCCCATGACGCTCGCCGGCATAACCTCCACTGCAGACGCCAGGAAGGCCAACCGCGTGCGCTCCGCTCTGCGGGCTCCCCCGAGAGCTGCGCCCGCATCGCTACACCGCTGGCGACGCCTATTCCGGCTCCTTCTAGTACCAAGCTCCTTGCACCGCACTTTCACGTCGGCTGACGTAACACTCCGCCAATACCACACGAAGAAGTTGGTGCACCTGCTGCCAGACCGCTCTGTTGTGTCTGTGGCCAGAGCAGTCTATGCCGTAGCTCCTACATATCCCCCACACGCTAGGGGAAGGACGTGTGACATTGCGTTGTGTCTGACGCTGCAAGGACACTGCTGCTGCCGCCGCCGCCGCTGCTGGTGATTCTCTCGTCCCATCCGTTCCATCGAGTCATGTTGCCACAACGGCACCAAGCTCGGATCTACGAGACTACCAAACAGCGAAGTAAAAAGAAGCACCACCAGCAGAATCCCCCCCCTCCCGTTACACCGGCTCTGCGAGCTTGCTGTTGCTCTTTCGCGCGAGAGGCCCGCTCGGCCTCCCGTTTCTGGGCGATTCGATCGACGACAATGATGACGACGACACGTGACCCTGCCCGCCACCCCCCCTCAGGAGCACCTCCTTCTCGGCGATCTCCACGTCACCCTCCCCCGAGCCGTTGGCACCCTTAGCCGCGGCCCCCCCGTCCGCCGAGGAGGAGGACGAGTTTGAAGAGGAGTTCGAGGCATTGGGGGGCTTCTGGGAGTACAAGAAGGTGGAGTGGAGCACGAAGTACGCGCCGATCACGAACATGACGGAGATCCGGAAATCGAACAAGACGAACGAAATCTGCGTGCGGCGGAGGCGAGAGAGAGAGAGAGGCCATGTGTCAAGTCGGGGGTTGTCGCGGGCTGAACACGAAGCTGTGCGGATCGGTGGGGCGAGGAATGAGACAGAGACAGAGGCCGAGGAGGAGAGGAACTCTTGATATCGGACGGGGGGGGGGCACCGGGGATATAAACCAGCACTACCCAGAGGAAGGAGAGCGCGTTGTCCCTACCGGCCACTGTAAACACCAGAATAAAAAAGCGGCAGCTCTCACCAGAGCGGTGAGCACGATAGAGACCGAAGTGGCGAACCCCTTGATGACGTTGTCCGCGTATTTGACGACCATCGCCACCACCAGCCCCCCCATGGAGTTCAGCAAAATCGCCATCCACACAGCGTAGTTGTACCTGCAAAAAAAAATCGAGGCGAAAGAACGAGGGCGGGGGACGAGGGCAGGAGGCATGGTTATTACTGTCCGTGAGGGGGAGCACTGTCTCTACGCACGACCAACAGAAGCACCCGTGAAACAACAGACGAGTCGTCCTAGCATGTGACCTCGCCACCGTCGTGCTGCCAAACTACAGCTTTGGCCAGCAACGCCACCACAACATCAACAACAACGATAACAACGGTAACGAAAAAAGCAGCGATGGCGAGGAGAGAAACAGTCACGCGATAACGCCATATTTGGCGAGAAAAAGCCATCATCATCACCACCAACACGAACCATCAAACAGTAACAGCGAGGAGAGAGGGCAGTCAGGCGATGACGCTCACCCGTAGAAGAAGCCGTTCTCTGACACAGCCTGGCCGTCCTTGAACCAGACGCACCCCGCGCCCAACAGGATACCGAAGCCAGACAGCTGCATGTTGCGCACCCACAGCGATACCGAAGTACCCTTCAGCACCTGCAGGGGTGAGAGGAGCGAGCAAACGATCGTTTGGACGAGGGCGGCGTGATATACCCGATGTTGACGATGGTCGCCATATGCTGAAGAATGCATGCAAGCTGTGCATCAAACACCGAAGGACATCATCTCATCCTTCACCGTGCCGAGACCGAGGAGGCGGGGTGTTACCAACCACGTCAAAAGGGGAGGGGGGGGGGGGGG